GAAATTATATAAATTATTGTTTTATCGATGTAAATGATTCACAGTAATAAAGCTGTAAATGATTCACAAAGTGAATCATTTACAGCTTTATTATCTAATTATTAAACAATTTATAATATAATACATAATCATAATTCACTACATAAGCATATAAAATAAATAATTATTACAGCTAATTTGAAATAAACAAAATTAATTTCTATTGAAACAAATGTAAAATAATAACAATTTTTTGGCAATTACTGATAAAATTGATAAAAGTAGATATTTAAATTGTCTTAATTACAAAATTCGTCAAGTGTAAACATTGCAATAAATCACTTCTTCTTCATTAGGCTTTGACACTTTCTCGACATTTCCTTTTCTGCGACAATAAACAAAGGAAACAACAATAATCACACCTAATAACATTAGCGAAATAAGAAGAGCCACTGCGATTTTCCATCCATAAACAGAAGAATCATTTACTAAAGATGCCAAATTATCTTCTGGAATTTCTATGCAATCATCATTGGAAACAATATCGATAAAAGACAGAAAAGAGAAATTTCTTCTACAGTAAATATTGGAGAAATCTGCAATCTTCTGTCTGTTTCTAAGCAACCAGTCTTTACTAAATTGCGAATGGCAATGGCAAGTCCAGTTGTTTCTGGATAAGTAAAGTTTAATTTCTGAAAGAACGTCGATCAGGTTCATTAAACCGACAGGTAATTCGGTTAACCGGTTTCCGTCCAACCAGAGCCATTTGAGGTTTCATAAAAGAACATAATCATGAATATTACTTATAGAATTATTACTCAGACGCAAATGCGTGACTTTATTCCATGTAAAAACATCGATATTTGACACATCTTTTATGAAATTATCACTCAAATCGACAATCGTCGCATTCGGGACAAGAAATTCTGGAATTCTCTCGAATTTTTTTCCGGAACAATTCACAATCACCTGATTTTCTTCTGTAAAACATTCGCAATTGACGGGACAATAATTTCCTATGACTACGAGCGATGTGTTATCAAGCAAATTTCTTTCTTCTCCGTAACATTTCGTGTTCTCTATTCCTGGAAACATTGTCTTTGCCACTTCCATATTTGACTTAAGAGCAAAAAGAAATTGCTGCAGTTCGTGGTCACAAGTAATTTCGTTATTGTTTAAATAATAAGTCGGCATTTGAAATCCATATCTCCTGTCATCTATGTAAATTGTTCTGATTTTACAGTTACTGTATACAAATCCATTTGCATCCGACTTGGTGTGGACGTTGGCAATTTGACGGTTTCGAAACGATTATTTGAGAAATCGACTATAGTTAAGTTGTATTCTGTCCAGTTAATCACCGGCCATTTTGTCAAACCTGCATTATTTAAATTCAGATAAATTAGATGCTTGCTGCTGCCAAAAGGATGCTCACCATTAATGTCAGTTAAATTGTTGTCAGATAGATCAATATGCGTTAAATTAGTCAATGGGAAGAAGATGTTTTCGTGTACAAATGTGAGACGATTTTCCGATAACTTGAGAGTATGCAACGACGACAAATTATTAAAAATAACTTCGGGAAGATTTTCTAACCGATTTCCCCGCAAGTTCAACCATCTCAGTTTAGAAAGTCCATGAAAAATGGCTGTTGGAAGAGTCGATATTCTATTACCTGAGCAGGAAAATCTTGTCAGGAGTTTGTTATTTCTCAGAAGATTTAGAGGGAGATGTTCAATTTGGTTGTTATCTAAATCGACGTCTTTCAAATTAATTAAGTCAGAAAATACATCTTCTTCGAGTGAAGAAATAGAACAACCCCATACAGAAATTTCAGCCAAGTTGTGCAGTTTCTTAAAGAATCCGGGTGGAATTTCTGATAATTGATAATTTCTGTAAATATAAAATGTCTTTAAGTTAGAAAGACCTTTCAACATGTCACCTGGTAAATTCTTTATTTGATTAATTCCAATATCCAAATATCTCAATCGGCTGAGATTTCTAAAGACAAGTGGATGAATAAATTCAATGTTATTGTAATTTAAGTCCAGTTTTGTTAAATTGTAAAGATTATAAAATAGATCTTCTGGTAAAACTCTTAACTTTCCATTCCTAATGTATAATTCGAAAAGATTAATTAACTCTCGGAAAGGTCTCTCAGGAAATAAAGTGAAATTATACCATTCGATTTTCAATGAAGTCAGCGACGGAACATTGCGAAATGTTACATTTAGAAGATCCGACGTCTTCACCCCTTCTATTTTGACAGATCGCAGAGAGGACATGTTATTAAACGAGGCGCTCTCGAAGTTTTTGTTATACTGGTTTGTTTTGTACAATATCTGAACTTCTTCGATTCCATACCCGAAAGTGAACATTCCAAAGTCAATCACTGACAGATAACAATTTTTAGATGTTATAATTTGTACATTTTTAACATTTAAGCATCGCATCAAACGGGAGTCGATCGTTTCATCGCCGCACTCGATGGATAAGGATTGATTGAATATTTCAACGAAGGAAAAGTTCTTTGATTCGTGGCATCTGTTTGCCAATGACGAGCAAGAAATATTTCCCCAATGTTGCCAAAACTCTTGACAAGAATTTACCACTAGAAATAGGAATTGAAAAAAAATAACCCACCTCATCTCGTCTAATTGGCCTTGTAATTACATCGACAGAGGAATCTCAGAAGTACGATCCTGAGGAATGAATTAACGATAAAACACAATTCTGAGCTCCTAATATGCGATATTTCTACTGCTGCTACGTCCACAACACGATAAATTATGATGTCAGTGACATAGATTCGTCATTTCGAATAGAAATATGACGTATACAGTTTTTATTTCCTCGTTTATTCCCGTTGCAGTGAAAGAAACAATATCTGTTTAACGTTAAATGAATATTTTACGAATACAATATTTGTTTTGCACATTTATTACAAGTGAGTTGTTCGTTTAAATAAATTGTTATTGTAAATAGAATATTATTTAGTATCTTTGTCTAAGACGTTTTTTGTGATACAAAGCAATGTTTCTGTTGACTCCATTTAAATTATTATAATAAAAATTCTATGAATGAATGTAAAATAAATATAAAATGTACAGTCGACCCTCCTATAACATTGTTGATTTTTCCGTTTTATATGAATTCCATGTTGTACGTACGAGTCACTTAGATTTTACAAATACGTGAGCCGTTCACAGCCCGGCACACGTATTTGTAAAATCTAAGTGACTCGTACAACATGGAATTCATATAAAACGGAAAAATCAACAGTGTTATAGGGGGGTCGACTGTATTCGTTTTATATTCGATCGATTAGAAATTTATTTCATTGGGTGAAATTCAATTAAATTATGGGGAAATATTAAATATTTCTTTCCATTATTGATTATTTTTTCTCATAGTTAATAGAAAATAAAAACTCCTTCTTTTGATATGTATCGAAGACATAAAAAACATAATTGAAAGACATAGAAATGTTTTCTTATATGAATGAAGTTCCGTCCATTTGAAATATTTAAAGCATTTAACTAAGTTAATGAAAGTACAATATAAATGCGAAACTATGGTAAATAATTTATGAATATTTCAAAAATAAAAATAAATTAACCTTCGATTAAGAAACTAAAATTAAATAAGGCAAATTGCAACCAAAAATAGTAAAGTTTAAACAAAAAATTATCAGGAAGGATATTAATCAAATTTTTATAAATGAAAATCCGGAAAAGTTAAAACCGAAAGTTAATTAAAAGACGAGGAAATAATTGTAGTAAATTTGGTCATTTACAGACAAATGTTAACTTCATTTTCTATCGTTAATTATTTTATCTATCTTTGGTATTTAAAGAAATAAATAGATGTTGAATAAGTAGTGATTGTCTTTATTCTTTATTACTAGAACTGTTTTTGAAATGTGTATTCATCACAGACGACACGTAAATGTTGTTATACAACGAGAAAATTTAAATCGGTAACACAAATTACGTAATCATCGGAAACACTACGTGTCGAATTACGTCGACCGCCGTACGATATGACACGTCATTCAATCGAGATTATAGAAAGCGGAAGGAACGTCACAGGCAACGGGTTCGTTTGGTAGCTGTGATGTAACACTCCATTTACAAACGACAATTTTGTTTTTCATTGTTTAAGATCGAAACGTTTAGAAATGTTAACCAGTTTATATTCAGTCCAAATGTAAAAAGTTTCGGTAGGCCAATTCACCCTTAATGTGCCAGATTAATACAGTCGTGTTCAGACATTCCTCGCTTAACCACCCTTTGACTTCGTACTCTCCATTTCCTTCTGTCTGAATCTGGCGAATTTTCTTTTCTAGTTTAATGTCGTTTCCCTAGTCGGCCATTATTTACTACACGAAACGTCGGCAATTTCCAACACTACAGTTTTAGTGTATAAACTTGTACTTTATTGTGCACTTCTTATTGCAAAATGGCGAAAAGGAAAGGCTCGGTTTCTCCTGAGAAATATGCCTTCACTCGTTAATAGGGTAGCACGACAAGACGCAAATGTATCGGCTGCTAAACGTATTGGTCCTTAGCCACAAATAAGCCAGAAAGTGAAGAAAAATTTAAGTGAATTAAGCAAGAATTTTTAGTAAAGAAGAGTTCTATAAGTTGAAGGTTTAAGGAGATTTACAATTTTACAACATTCTGCTTGTTTCTACGTGTGAGAAGAACCGATGTCATTCAAAGCTAACACAACACATTTTTTTCAACTGTACAAGTCTTTCTATCGTTTATCCGTTGTTGCAAGATTTAACCCTATTGTAGGGAGAATTAGACGCTTTTTTATCCTATACTTATCCTATCGATTAGCAGATCAATCAAAAATAATCCGTACAGTCTCCTAATATTTGGAATGAATAAAAAATTAATAATTATCATCTATTTAATCTGTAAAACATTTTATTTATTTAATGTTTTTTTATTTTGATTTCCTGCACTTTTATCTAACGAAAAAAAATCAGTTATTTCTAAGTGTAGAAAGTTGCCTGACTTCGGCTGACTAATATATAATTTGAAAAAATTATTCATCTATTTTGCATGTACTGTATTTTTATTATGTTAATAATTGTAAAAGAGTAAAATAGAATTTTTTATAAATGTTAAAATAGTTAATAATATAAAAAGATTTTAAGTAAAATTTAATAATAGATAGAGCCACCAGAATTTTAAATATTGCGTGGAAAGTTGAACAACAACGTGTTGCTGGTTATTTAATGAAGGCAGAGTCTTTCTACTTTTTTATATACTCTTTTTGCCCTGTGGGCACTAGGAGGGCCTCTTATAGCAAGCCCATTATGGGTTCTGCCAGGTCCACAATGTGACGACTGGGTGGTGAGGGACGGAGCCCGACACTACTCTGACAATATAAAACTTAGACATTATTCTATGTTTTTCCGTTATAAAACTAAGAAAAAATACTTCGTACACAGTTTTTTAAGTGCTGATTACATTCATATACAGAGTTTGATTTGCTAATTGTGACTTACTTTTTCAATTAATTTTTGTCACGAAGCATTTACCAATAGATTGGTTTTGTCTGCTCGATGTTTTTTTTTTATCTCGTTTGCTCACAGCTCAACATTGCTGACTTTACAATTCAAAGACTATTTCGCACGTTTTGACCGATACTGATGATTACTTTTGTTGAATTACTTTCCAAAAACCATCTGATATTGTAGCCTTACAAAGAAAGTCGTTGCTTCAAGAAGCCAAATCCTAAGAAATCCATAGGGCTGATGTCAGGTGCTTTGGTGGTTATGTCGTCTGCAGGAATGTATTTCATTCCACTGTCAGCTGTTAACTTGTACATAAGCGGTTGTATATCTAGCTGTGCGACTAGATGCTTTGTCATGGTGAAGAGTTACTTTGGAATCTTCTACAAATTTTGAACCTCACATTCCAAATTGATTTTAAAATGTTCTCCACATAGTAATTAGCGCTAGCTTTTACAGTTTTCGGCACTCTGATAAGGGGAAGTGTTTCCCGGCATGTCATCCTCCAGCAATCATAAATTCATAAGGCTATTATTCGTGATAGTTAACAAGCCATTTTTTTTGGCACTTGTTGTCCAAGCTGCACGTGCAGAATTTTTCGAGTTATATTGCACTAATTAATATATATATATAAACGAATTAGGGTGGCCGTATACTTGCTTTTTCCTTCAGCCAGATACCTTTTATAGACCGTCCCTGCATAAGTGTTTCTATACTTTTTTCTTGGTGGCCGCTTGCAGATTTTCATGAATAATGGTGTTAAATCTGAACTGAAATATACCCAAATGCTGTGCTATGGTAGTCTGGCAGGGTGGTTTTTGTTTTTTATTATTTTCTTAACTTTTCTTATCTACTGCGAGGTTTGCGAGTCCTTGAAAGTAAAGGGTGTTACTTACCAGAAGCACTCAATTGGCGCTTTTTTGTTTTGTTGCCAAAAACTCTAATAACTGTAGACTGGAATACTTGAATTTCATTCTTCTTGAAAACTTTTACTACAGCAAAGCGGTATGAAAGATCTTTTACGGAAAGAAGCTTGATGCGCACGTCAACTTTCCTCGCAAATGCCGGCTCTATTTTTAAAATTATCAAACTCAACCATTCATAGAATGCAAAGAAAAGCGACATCTACCAGGTTTAAAATTTGATTTATATTCGAAGAGTAAAATAAAAGATGACAGAGCCTGAATCCGAATCATAATTATTGAATCACTTCTGTAAGATATTTTTGGTACATTTAAGTCTTTTTGCATATATTGCACCAGAAATTTGCAGTTTGCTCATAAAAAAACTTCACACGTTCTAGCGATTAATCCTATTCGAGCTTTGGCTAAAGTGTGAGCGTCAAATTTAGCCAAATTTGACGCTCACGCTTTTTTAAAAATTCGAAAAAGGAAGTTTAAGTATCGAATTACTAAATGGCCCAAAATGTTTTTTAGTGTGTGAAAAAGCAATTACTGTTTTTTACATTTAATAAGATTGATTATTTCCAAGAAAAATAAATATTGTTTGTATTCATAATTTTTATGGGACCATCCATAAATAACTTAAGGGTGATTTCGACCATTCTAGACACCACCCACCCCTGTGTAATAAACCGTAATGAATTTTCTATGATCCACCCTCCCCTTCCCTATCTTACATAATACTTTGTCATAATTTTATAAAAAGTTTTTAACTAAAAATTTTTGTTATGAAACCCTAAAATCCTTAGGTAAAAAATATATAATTAACTAGCTGAAAGGACCCGCTTCGCTGGGTTTTTATTTGTTCGTACATTTGTATGTAATATAGTTTTTGTTTTTTACATATAAAAGACTGTTTTTCTAAGTAATATAGAATCTAGCTGCAAGGACCCGCTTCGCTGGGTTTTTAAAAAGTAACGATAGTGAAGATTAAGATAATTACATTATAGCCAATCTTACCCGTGTTCACAGAATGCAAGAATTAGGTCCCCCGTTTC